GAAAACATCCTTTGATAGAGGCAGAGTGGGAAGGGGCAGGAAAATCTCTCTCTGGAGCTTGCTGACAGCGAGGTGGTGGTGTTACACCAGGTGTGAGTTTGGCCTCAGAAGAGGGTGAGTGATGAGGAAGCTTTTCCCTTTTTGATAATCCCGTCTGCGAGCCAGATGCTTTCTCCCCACTTGTAGCACACTCTGGTTAAGTATTATTATTTATATTATGTAGTAGCTATACATAGTGTTTTATGGCAGTAAAGATACATAAATCAGCAACCAGAAGACGAGGGCTTTGCTCTAAAGAGCTTATAAATCTAACAGCTTGAGCAGCCCCAGTAATGGACACAGTAAGCAGGCAGTCAAGTTGCATGTAGACATGAGCTAAGATGGGTCTCCCAAAGCAGATGGCGGTTTAGGAGAGATTTGGAAGAGAAGCAACCTGCTCCATCCTCGAGAGCGGATTCTCCTGCTGGAGAATTAGAAGGGCTGTGACCCATATAAGCTTGTCCGGGTGGAGAGGTGAAAGAGTCTGTGGGAGAACAGCAACTTGCCAAGAGGGAATGCACAGGGGGTAGTGGGGGTTCATGGCAGGGCTGCCTTTTGGGGGGGGTTCTGCAGGTGCATCCCCCAGGGACAAAGCATCCATCCTTGTCCTAAGTGATGTATTTGCCTTGAGCCTGAGACTCCTAATGAAAAGAAGTGGCACCATGTTGTCCTAAAGAAACCAAGGCTCTGCCTTGCTCGGAGATACAGCAAAGTGTTATAAATCTTAAAAAGCAAGAAAACTGCTGGTGCAGGTACACCAAGCTCTCTGGAGGAAGTGCCACTGCAGAGGCAAGTGTCCCTGCTGCCATGGCAGAGAAGTGCTCCAACCCTTCAAACCTTCCTCTTTGATCCCGGGTATCAAACCAAGGGTTTTGTTTTTTTTTTCCAAATTTCTTCCTGTGCTGGCACCGGCCTGGGAGGAACCTGGTCTGGGCTGGAGAGAGATGTGCAGTGTCTGGCCGAGCATGCTGGCTCCGGGCGTCTGCATTCTTCTGGCTGCTTTCAGCTCCTGCACAAATCGAGGCTTCACGCTAAATGCATTACACTGTATAACAATTAATCCCGTGCTACATATAGAAAGTCCTTACTCATCAATAATGCATGCGGGAGGAGTGATTTTCACTCTCGGTAATAAGGCTAAGACAATGGAAACAAGCAGGTAATGGAGAACATTTATAACAATGTTAATCTAATAATGAGTCTAATGCTGTTAAAAGTAAGACTGCAAACTGGACGCATCCAAAGATGAATTATTTCAAGCATTCATTAACTGATGCCTAATTAATGCTCAATTAGAGGGGTGCTACATGGGAAATGGTTTGGACAGTCGGACGAATTCATTCCAATCACTGAAACCTCAGTCAGAAGCAGGAGGCGGCAGAAGGACACGGCGAGCAGAAGCCGGGGTGACACAGCGTGTTAGTGGGAGAAAAGCAGGAGATAAACACCCCTTTGCTGGTTTTATCCATGTCAGCGGGGATTTGGTTTTACTCACTTCACCAGCAGGTTTCTGTAAGATTTTTCTGTGCTGCTTTTGAAGCTCTCCCTCCCTGGTGAGCTCTGACACATAGGCTGGTGACCCTCCATCTGCCTCACAACCTTTACAAGATGAAGTTGAAAAGGCTGAATCAGGAATAACAAGTTCAACAAGTTAGACAGGGTCAGACTATCAGGAGAGCTGGGCTGGGACCTCTTGGGAAGTTCCCATCTTGCTTTGCTGCCTGGGAAGCCCAGTGAGATCAAAGTGCTCCTGGCTGTCTTGTCCTGGTGGGACTAGGCTGCTGGATATTGCAACACTGGTGTTACCAGCTTCAGGAGCTTCATGGCTCCATGACCACAACCTCTTTGCTTCTTGGGGGTCACATTCCCAAATCTAAACTGCGACCAACACCAGGGCATCTCAGGAGCAGCTTCTCACAGCTCTAGACAATCAGCAGGTTTTACGGGCTTGGAGGGAAAGCATCCTCGATGAGATCATGTGCCTTGTTTGCATCCACTGGGGAGTGCAGACCTTCATAGAATCACAGAATGGTTTGGGTTGGAAGGGACTTTAAAGACCATCTGGTTCCATCTTCCCTCCCATGGGCAGGGACACCTTCCACTAGACCAAGTTGCCCTGAGCCTTGTTTAACCTGACCTTGAACACTTTCAGGGATGGGGCAGCCACAGTTTCTCTGAGCAACCTGTGCCAGGGCCTCACCACCCTCATAAGGAAGAATTCCTTTGTTACGTCTAATCTAAACCTACTCTCTCTCCAAGTCCTGCTCCCCTGTTCACCCTTTTTTCCTAAGCATCCAACCTTCCGTTTCCCCATTCTCCTTCCTCATGAGTTGCAGCGCATAAGTAGAAACACATCCCTGCCTTTTCTCCCTACCATCATACTCTTGGGAAGCTGACAACCAGCAACAACCCAGGCTATCCCCACCGCCATCCATGGCTGCAGGAGTCACATCTCCCTCTCCATAGGACCTCCAGCCGTTAACCTGCAGATGCCTGTTAAATAAAGAGATGGACTCAGTTCCCTCTGACCTTTACCTCTGGAGTTATCCCTGCAGGCAGCGAGCTGTTAAATGCTGTGTTCCCTCTCGGCAGAAGCCTCTACCTTGGCCATGCTCCAGGGAGACCTCCAGGCTGCCTTCGTCCATCGCCGTGTGCTGCTAACAGCCGCCTGTCATCACCATCCCCATACATGAAATCGTCTATGCTCCCAGATCCCTGCCCGGCTCCACCTCCCGTCAGTAATCCCGTTAGCCTGGCAACTGTCGTGTCATGGAAGAGCGCATAAAACTGTTGTTTGGAAGCAATATGTAATCTTCCAACCTGCTGCGTATAGCTGGGAGATGGTTTATTGATTCAGACCCTTGTGATTTGGTATTTGCAATAACAGACTCTGCATGTGGGAGATCGTCGCAGCACTTGTGCCTGGCAGGATTTTACTAATAAACATAAGACCTACAGAAAGATTCAAACTCCAGTGTCACCAAGGTAAAGACGGGGAACGTGAAGCCGTCCCACCTTGGCAAAGCACATCCGCGGGTAAAAAAACCCGGCAGAATATATCTGCAAACATAGTTTTATCTTTTCCATCGTTATCTGGCACTCGGATAATCACAATATCCTCAGGATACCACTGTTTCCCAGGCGGCGCTTGCACGGTGAGCTGCAGCGAGGGCTCCCGTTTTGGCAGGGAGTGCTGGGTAGTCAGCGCTGGCACGATGCTCCCACCAGCACAGCCCCTCGCTCATCGCAAAGGCACGACAGCAAAGCCAAAATGCTACGGTGGTGACTTGGAGAACATTCCTTTTCCTACACAGCCGTAGGAGTTGTCGCGAATTAAGCGTTCCCGACTCATCACCCCCTTTTTGGCAGTGGTGCAGGGATGAGACATCCCTCTTGGTAGCCGACGCTTTGTTCCTGAAGGGCAGCGCCTGGAAGTTGTCCTCCCCATTGCCATCACAGCCAAGGCTTGGTCCAATGCTTTGGGCAGCAATGCTATTTTTTTTCCTGACTGCCTCTTACTGGTGATTTATGGAGAGTCTGAATAACCCAGTTTATCTAAAATATGTGACAACTTTGCCTTGAAAGGATGGGTCCAGATGGACGGGTCACCTGCTGTTAACTAAACGGTAATAGATCTCCATACCGGGCAAAAGGCAACAGCAACCATGGAGTTATATTTCAAACAGAATTAATAAGAAAACAGTAAGGTTTTTGTGCCTCCCACTTGTATTCGGCTGCAGGCACTGAAGAGAGGGACTGTAAAAGCCCAAGGGGTCCAGGATCTTGGACTAACTGGTGATAACGACGTTGAGTAATTAGAGATGAACTCCACTTCCACTCTCGTTTTTCAGATTATTACAAGCTGAGTAGAACTCATGGGCAGGATGGCACCAGCAGCTGTGCGCTGCTCTGCTATTACTCCTTTTCCCCGTAAAGTCCAGAGGCAGAATTCATTAGACATGAGCAAATTTTGTGTATAAGAGGAAAAAGCCAAATCTAGGAGGAAAATCTGAATGAGAAATGACAAGTCTGGTGCAATGAGTCTGAAAAGCCACTCGGCACAGAAGGAATAGCCTGAAAGCAAGCCTGGTGTGAGGAGTGGGAGCGAGACGGGAGCAGGGCGGTGAAACTGGTGCTCTGAGAGCTGAGCAGAGGGAGGGGATGATTCCTGCCTCACTCTCTGCTTCTCTGCTGTGAGAAAGCCCCAGTCACAAGCACATACTGTAGCATTAGAGGATGCAATATGCTTTGCCACAGGACATCCATTTAGAAATATGTCTGAGCATCCCACTTCCAAACGGAGTTTTCGGCTCAGCCTTTCCCACCAACTGCTGACAACATATTTTCCTGCAAATCACTTGGGTTTCAGGGTGGATGGTGGTGTCTAACAACTGTAGTCAAAGGAGATGGTGGGGATGGGTCTGTGCCTTTGGCAGAGCAGGGTGTGCTGTGCGGATTCGCTGCCCACGTGTAATTTTAGGTGGTTCACTGGGAATTGCTAAATCTCTGTTCCTTTTCCTCCCCGATACGTAAGTGCAGGCGATTTGAGAGATGTATTATAAGGAGGGGTGGACACATAAAAGGGTTTGCATTTCCTCTGTTTGCTCTCACACCACGAAATTTCCTCCGATGGCGCTGCTGCCTGCAGGCAAGGGGCTCTGCTGCCTGCACTGCCAGCGTGAATTCTCACCGAGAAAGTTTCTCCTGCCTGCTCTGGGCTGGGAGCACAACCAGCTGCCTGTTGCAGGCAGGGCGAGGAGGCAGGGAGTACTCCATACATCACGTTTTAACTACTGTGGGTGATGAGCCTACTCATCACAGCCGCGTGGGTAATTCATGAGCAGAGAGGAGGGCTGAGTTAATTGGGGGCGTTTTTCACCCAGAATAGTCTCCACAGCAGTGATGGGTGGGCGGGAGGTGCCCGGTTCCCGCTGACGCCGCTCTCCCCTCTCTCCGCACAGGGGGGTTTGCGGAGCTGCTGCTGGTGCTGCTGGGGTTGAAGGTGCCCAGTGCCCTGGGCTGCCCCACCGACTGCGTGTGCTACCCCTCCCCGATGACTGTCAGCTGCCAGGCCCACAACTTCGTCACCATCCCCGAGGGCATCCCCGAGGACAGCGAGAGGATCTTTCTCCAGAACAACCAGATCACCTTGCTGCTGCGGGGCCACTTCAGCCCCTCCATGGTCACCCTCTGGATCTACTCCAACAACATCACCTTCATTGACCCAAACACCTTCGACGGGTTCGTCAACCTGGAAGAGCTGGACCTGGGGGACAACCGCTACCTAAGGGCTTTAGCTGCAGACACTTTCCAAGGGCTGGTGAAACTCCATGCCTTGTATCTCTACAAGTGCGGGCTGAGCTCCCTCCCCAGCGGGATATTCGGTGGCCTCCACAACCTGCAATACCTTTACCTGCAAGACAACCACATTGAGTTCCTTCAGGATGATATTTTTGTTGACTTGGTTAACCTCAGCCATCTTTTTCTCCATGGAAACAAGCTCTGGAGCCTCCATCAGAACACGTTCAGGGGACTAATAAACCTGGATCGGCTGCTCATCCATCAAAATCAGCTGCAGTGGATTCACAGGCGGGCTTTTCATGACCTCCGAAGATTGACCACCCTTTTCCTGTTCAATAACAGCCTCTCGGAGCTGCAGGGGGACTGCCTGGCCCACCTGGGAGCCCTGGAGTTTCTCAGGCTGAATGGGAACCCATGGAGCTGCGACTGCAAAGCCCGTTCCCTCTGGGAATGGCTGCACAGGTTCAGAGGCTCCAGCTCCAGTGTCATCTGCGAGTCGCCCGAGCAGATGCATGGCAAGGACCTCAAGGTGCTAAGAGCAGAAGACTTTAGGAACTGTTCAGGGTCCGAGTCGCTCCATCAGATGAAAACACACACTTTCTCCACAGCGGACAGAGGAGCCTCCAAAACCCACCACCCTCACCACTCCTCCAAGGAGAAGGGGAAGGAGAGAGGGGCTGAGAACAGTTTGCACAGCAGCCAGCCCGCCGGCCCCCCAGGCTCCCGGCCGGGCTACCGCAAACCCGGCAAGAACTGCACCAGCCACAAAAGCCGTAACCGAACCTCTAAACCGGTGTCCTTGGGGCCGCGGAAAAACGGGCAGGAGGTTCCAGACTATGTGCCTGATTATCAGCACAAATTCAGCTTTGGGGTGATGCCAACGCTGTCCCCCAAACGCAAGGGTAAGTGTACCCGGCGGACGCCCATCCGCCCCCCCAGCGGGGTCCAGCAGGCAGCCGGCTGCTCGGGGCTCAGGGCGTCGCTCCTGGTTTTTATGGTGGTGTTGGCGGCCGTCATCCGCTGAGCCCCCCGGCCGCGGACAGAGCGGAGCTTGTACTGCCACCAATCTACAAAGGACCAGAGTTTCTTTTCTTCTTCTTTTTTTGTACGTGGCTAGCGTTGGCCTGGCGAAGGGAAGAACGCTGTCTCGGCTTCTGACGGTCTCTCCGTGCCCGGCCGGGCTGCCAACGCGGACTGTGCCGAACGCAGCGGGAGCGGATTAAAAGGCATTATCACACCTTGTCACAAACAGCCTAACCGAGCACCTACAACAACAACAACAAAAAAAAGCCAACCTTACAAAAAGCAGATAACAGGGACGGTAGCCAATTCGTCGGTGACAGCAACCGGACAAATGGACTGTATCCATGCTCTTGTGAAATCCTGTTCATTTGAGAGCGCTCCGAACGACCCCTCCAATTACTGAAAGGAACATAATTGCTGTAAAAACCATCACCAATTAAGCCTACACTGTTTCTCTGAAAGTGAGTGCAAGGACACTGATACCGATGTAATAAGGACATTGGTTCTCCCATGTTTTAGCCCTTTTGGCTCCAAACCCAGAGGCCAAAGTTGGCTGGGAATCTCTTAGAAGACAATCTCAAACCCCTGAATATCTCAGGCATTACAGCAGAACAGGGCTTGCCTGCTGGGCTTGGAGTAGCCAACAACCAAAGGAAAGACTGATTAGAGGTGGAATTAAACAAAAAAAAAACAAACAAACAAAAAACAAACCCAACACTTAAAGAAATGAGGTACCTGCAGGAGGTGTGTTTTTTGTAACCATGTTCACACATCCGAAAAAAAACCCCAACAAATGCACAGGCTCTCCCCTTTCCCCTCAATTATCCATATGTATGTCTTACAATGTTTATAAACTATATGGAAACTATATCTCTTCAGAACTAAGGATTGTATTGTTGAATTTATAGCAGACCAGTATATGATTTTTTTTTTTTGGTTTTTCTCAAGAAAACAAACCGGCAGCAGTGCCTACAGATGCTGAAAGCCATCGGGCGGGCTCAGTACGTGCGGGGGAACCACAGTGGACCAATGTTCTCAGCAATTCAGAGCACTAAACTTTGGGAGGGGGTGGGTGGGGGGTTGTGTGCGGTGCAGCAAAGTCCGTATCCAGAGAGCCAAAACTCACCCTTACACCCTAATTTGTAACCAGGGGGGAGAGAGAGAGAGATTAATTAGCCCAAATAAATAGAGCCATAGAGCTCTGTCTCTGGAGAGTGCTACAAGGCCCCGGAAGAAAGGGGCTATTTTGGGGCTGGAGGCAGAGAGGGGCTTCCCAGCCATGTCGGTGGCGTGAGGACCTTTATAGCTGGACTAAGGTTTTCACTGGGGCAGCAAGGAGCAGCTCCCAGGCTGGAGACAGTCCTGACAGCGTCAGGAGAGGTTTTGTTTCTTAAAAGGAACAGGTTGTATCATGGGAAGGGTCAGAGAAGGGGGAAACTACAGCTCATAGAGGACCGGTGAGAAGCGCAGAGCCCAGGGCTTCTGGTCCGTGGTAGGAGAGGGATATCAATGGTCCAAGAGAGCCATATGAAGGGGGTTGTGGCCCCTTCCAGGTGGAGGAGAGGGAGCAGGTCTGCCTGTTCCCCTCATCCCAAATTACACCCTGTGGTGGAGGGATGCGTTTGCTGGCCGGGGGCACAGCAGAGCTGGCAGCATCACTGATGGCAGCCCACAGGCTCGGAGAGGTGCTGCCCGAATTCTGCAGTCGGTGTGAATTCCCTGTCAGCGTGGATGTGTGAGACCAAACAGACACTGAAGTTAATGAAACAAGGGAAATAAAAGTGATCTTGGACAAGAAAAGGCTGCTGTTCATTTCCTAACCATATCCCAGCACGTTTTGAGCCCGTACCTCACGTGTGGGGCTGGAAATCCCAAAGGAAGCGGCTTGTGTTTTCCATCAGACACACCACTAGCTTCAGGAAGAATGGGCCATCTTGGGAAATCCGCTCTCCTAACTGCTTTGGGGAAGGGGAGAGGGTATTGAGGGTATTTACACAGTGTCAGATCCCTTGGAGGTATCTGGAAATGAAACGGGAAACTCCTGATGGAAAAAAAAAAAAAAAAAAAAAAAAGAAGAAACTTCCCCAATGCACTTATGGTTACAAGCAGTTGGATGGTGGGATGGGGAAGCTGGACGGGCATGACCTCTTCTGTCCATCTTACAAGTGAGGAAGGGCAGAGGTTTGGATGCTTCTCTTTTAAACAACCTTCTTGGGGAATAGCAAGACTAATTCTGGGAGGAGAAAGGAAGAGGTTACTTCATCAAGCCCTCTGCCTTCCAGCTCCTACTCAAACTTTTCTGTCTACAGGGCTCTAAAGCTCCACTAAAGGGATGTCCAATGCAGCCAGAACAAATAATCCGTGATCTGAAATAGCTCCCTCATGTCCTACTCTCTATAACCAATAGCAACTGAATGAGTCTGGCACTGTCCCTTAGAAGTGGAGAATGTTGTTATGTTGGTTATTTCGTTTCATACTCTGGAAATCAAAGCTCTCAGTGGGAGAATGAAGAAGAGAAGCACTTTATTAATTTTTTTTTAAGTCTGCGTGTAACTCCTGTAATATAGGAGTGAAATGTCAGCACAGGAGATGCTAATGTTTTATAAATGATTTGGGTGCAGCAGGCACGGTGGATAGTCTTTGAGATGAATTATATTAGAACAGACTACGCCTGGCTCAAAACCATAATTGTATTTTTAGTATCTTTTCCTTTAACATGTAGGAAAAATAAAGGCAACTCCATGGTGTATTACAAGCCTTGTCAATCAAGGGCTCTAACTCTTAGTGATAAAGGGGACTGTTTAAAAACCAGAAGGGAGACATGATACACTGCTAAATAGGAGATGTCTCTTCACACGGTGTCATGGTTTAACCTGGCAGGTAGCTAAACACCACCTGACTGCAGTGGAATGGGGGAGAGAATTGGGAATAATAAGCAACATTCATGGGTTGAGATAAAGATGGTTTAACAGGACAGAAATGGAAGAAATAATTAATAACAACAATAGAATTAGAGTATACAAACCAAATGATGCACACTGCAATTGCCCACCACCTGCTGACCGATGCCCAGCCAGCTCTGACCCCAGTTTATATACTGACCATGATTCCATACAGTCTGGAATATCCCTTTGGTCAGTTGGGATCAGCTGTCCTGGCTCTGTCCCTTCCCAGATTCTTGTGCCCCACAGCATCATCACTGGTGGGATGAGGAGCAGAAAAGTCCTTGACTCAGTGTAAACACTGCTGAGCAACAACTAAAAATTGGTGTGTTATCAACATCATTTTCATCCCAAACCCAAACCACAGCACTATACCAGGTACTAGAAAGAAAACCAACTCTAACCCAGCCCAAACCAGGACACACAAGGACTACAGGTTTCTGATATTCCTCCTGCCTTCTCCTTAGCTGCCATCCCTCCCCGCTCCCATCCTTATTCCACAACCACAGCTCTTTGAGGATAAACTAAATTTTTATGGCATGCTCTGACACTCAGCCTCAATAACGAACTTCCCGTCTGCGTGGTTCAGCTCTACCATGGCCCCTGGTTCACGCTCGTGTGTCTTTCCCCCAATCCCTTCCTACAGCATGTCTTCATGCATTTTGAATGTTGCTCTGAGGCCTGGCAGAAATCCCCTCTTCTCCGAAGCAGCGCTCCCACAACCTCCAAGCACGCATCTCTCCAGTCGAGCAGACATAGGTATCACTGTGACTTGCCAGAGATGGTCTGGATTAGGCTGGAGACGAGCTGGAGAAATTTGGGATTTCATTAGAACTGCTCCCAGACACCAAAGGTTTTGACAGGGAAGTACCTGGGCTAAAGAGCTGAACCCCAAGGTGGCAGAAGGCACCGTGGCCGCTCTGAGGTGATGCTGGGCAGTGGTTCACGTGCTCCCATTTGTACAAACTGGACTGATGGGCTGAGGCCAATGGGATGAGGTTCAAGAAAGCCACATGCTGGTCCTGCACTTGGGTGAAAACAATCCCATACAGCACTCCAGGCATGGGGCAGAGTGGCTGGAGAGGTGCCTGGACCTGGGGGTGCTGGTTGACAGTGTCTGAACATGAGCTGGCATGTGCCCAGGGGCATCCTGGCTTGTACCAGCAATAGCGTGGCAGCAGGACCAGGGCAGTGATCATTCCCCTGGGCTCAGCACTGGTGAGGCATCTTGAATCCTGGGTTCAGTTTGGGGCCCCTCATAACAAGAAAGACATCGAGGGGCTGGAGCGTGCCCAGAGAAGGGAACAGAGCTTGGGAAGGGCCTGGAGCACAGGTGTGATGAGGAGTGGATGAGGAAGCTGGGGGGGCTCAGCCTGGAGAAAAGAAGGCTCAGGGGACACTTTCTCACTCTCCACAACTCCCTGAAAGAAGGTTGGTCTCTTCTCCCAAGTGACAAGCAATAGGATGAGAGGAAATGGCCTCAAAGTTGCTCCAGGGGACATTTAGATTGGATATTAGGGAAAATGTCTTCACTGAAAGGGTTGTCACACCCTTGCACAGGCTGCCCAGGGCAGTGATGGAGTCACCATCCCAGGAAGGATCTAACAGATGTGTAGATGTGGCACTTGGGGACATGGTTTCGTGGTGGCCTTGGCAGTGCTGGGTTAACAGTTGGACTCAGTGATCTTACAGGTATTTTGCAACCTAAATGATTCTGTGATTCTGTAAACCTAAACCTCTACATGTTCCTATCCCAAGCTCAACCTTCAGATGTGCATTGATCCCTCTCGGGGTTCAGGCAGACAGGCTGCCTGTTGCCAACATGGGCAGACACTCCCAATAGCTCCCCATGAGCTCCAAATGCTTCCCCTGGGAAATGTGTCACTTGAGCATTTATTTGCTCACTGGTTTCCCTTTCCTTTAGTGCTCTCCAGTCTGTGCTGCTCTGGCAGACGAGACGAGTCCCTGTCGCTCTGGCTGCTTTTCCCTTCTTTCCATCAGTGAGCTTCAATGCTCTGACTTTGGGCTGTTCGAGCAAATCCTTTCCATTAAAAAAAATAAACACCAGAGGACCCAGAAGAGACCCCAGACTGTGCCTCTGGAAACTCACTCCCGGCAGCAGAATCCCGTTTCCTGAGTCGGAGCCAATTTTCTCTCCTTTGTACCACTTTTCCACAGTTTCATCCCATAATTGCTAATATGGAGCTTTTCGTACATGCTTTGAAAACAGAAACCACGCAACACTGCATCTCTTTTATCCTCCCAGGCAGGATGAAAACCAAACACCTCTTGGATACTGAGAATAAATTTTCAGTTTATCAGTCTAAACCAACACCATGAGTCCGCAGTTTCTCCTATATTCCCCATTGCTTCCCAGACCACACTTGTGTTCCCCCAGCACCAGTTCCAAATTATTTCCTTTGTCTCAGAGAGTCGCTTTGTGACATGTACCCCTCAGAGGGGACAGAGCAGAACAAAAGCATCACTTCACATTTCTTGCAGCTAAATAACACTTTTTGCAGTTCTTCAAGTTCATCCTTCCCTAAATCCCCTGTCTGTGTATTCTTTCCCTGTCTTAGCTTCAACCACTCCTGCAGGAACACCTCCCAAGAGCCCATTTCCCATTGCACTACCAAGAGTATTTTCCTTTCCATCTCTTACTATTTCCTTGAGGTCCTGTTGGTTGGCATTATCCCCTTGTTCCCTCAGTCTTTTCCTCCCTCTTACTGCATCCAGCTGACCACTGCTTTGGTGAAACATGAGATACTGACACCAGTGCTGATGGGAACAGTGATTCCAGGGATGCTCTTGTATTCTTGAGTTTGTGGGTTACAGATGGAAGCAAAAGCAACTATGAAAGCAGGACACAGGTGCTCACGCTTTGCAATGTGTGTTTTTGGGAAGGTGTCACACTGACAAGCCAAAAACATCTCTACCCTCATAAAAGTAGCCCCGGGAGCAGCAACTCTCCAGAATCCCCATCCATC